GCCCATCCCATGCGCTTAGCACCAGGTTAGGGAGGGCTGGGCAGCAGCCTGCGAGCACCCACACAGTCTGCTGCGAAGGACTCGTTTCCTTTGCAGGGGGCTGAGATCAGGTGCAAAGTGCCCGGGGCCTGGACAAACTGGAGACGTGGTCGGAGGTAAGAGGGTGACGTTCATTAAGGACAAATGCTCCACTTAGGAAGGAGCAATCCGAGCCACACACACAGAACGGGACGCGACCGTCTGGGAAGGAGTCCTGCAGACAGGGATCTAGGGTCAGAGTGGTCCACATGCTGAACAGGAGCCAACAGCGTGACTGTGTGGCAAAAAAAGCCAACGTGATTGTGGGCTGCGTTAGCAGGAGTGTGGTGAGCAAGACACGAGGAGTCGTTCTTCCGCCCTGCCCTGCGCTGGTCAGGCCCCAGCTGGAGTCTTGTGTCCAGTTCTGGGCACCGCACTTCAGGAAAGAGGTGGAGAAATTGGAGAAGGTCCAGAGAAGAGCAACTCAGATGATGAAAGGTCTAGAGAACGTGAGCTAGGAGGGAAGGCTGCAAGAACTGGGCTTGTTTCGTCTGAAAAAGAGAAGACTGAGGCTACAACTACACTACGGGGCCCCTACAAAAGCCCCTTGCACAAAATGGCGGCTCATTAAGTATGCAAATGAGGTGCAGCGATATTCACCACTTCGCCTCATTTGCATATTTGCTTGCGCAAGAGAGGGCAGTGTAGACGTAGGCCCATAGTCTAGACGTAGCCTGAGAGGGGACGTGATAGCGGTTTACAGGCATCTAGAAGAGAGGAGGAGGAGGAGGGAGAAAACTTGTTCTCCTTGGCCCAAGGACAGGACAGGAAGCAAGGGGCTTGAACTGCAGCAAGGGAGGTTTAGGTTGGACATTAGGAAAAACTTCCCGACTGATTTTTGAGAAACCCTCCCCCCCAAAAAATAAAAAAACTGACCGGGGCCAAAAAACAAAAATAGCAGCAAAACTTGTGGGGCGATTAAGGAGGATGGGGGGAAGGGCTGGGTTGTCCCGTACCCCCCCTGGAATTTCTTCATGCACCCACTACGGGGCCACACCCCCCAGTTTGGGAACCCATAATCTATTCTAGATCATCCCTGACAGGTGTCTGTCCAACCTGCTCTTAAATATCCCCAGAGATGGAGATCCCACAACCTCCCTCGGCAATTTATTCCCGTGTTGAACCCCCCTGACAGTTGGGAAGTTTTTCCTAATGTCCAACCTCAATCTCCCCTGCTGCAATTTAAGCCCATTGCTTCTTGTCCTGTCCTCAGAGGCCAAAGAGAACAGTTTTTATCTCTCCTCCTTGCAACACCCTTTTAGATACAGGCAGTCCCCGGGTTACGTACAAGATAGGGACTGTAGGTTTGTTCTTAAGTTGAATTTGTATGCCCCAGTTCCAGTGTTCTCTGATTATTATACGAGCCTCATCAGTAAAGTTTTGTTTGGAGGACTGGGCCTCGCTTGGTCATTTTTCTGAGTTTTGGCTCAAGAGGGACCCGCACCACAAAGCTCAGATCTGAATCGGGCTCTGGATCCAACCTGCCCTCAACCATGGGGAACGTGGAGTTGAAGGGCGGGTTTCGGAGATGCCGCAGGTCCACGGGGTTCGTAGGCCAGGGGGGTGGGCTGCCTTGTAAAAACCAGACAGACACAGGGGCCATGTAGTGCTCATCAGACGTGATCGCGGCTAGGTAACACGTGAACACAGCGCGAGCGGGTCGATACTGACACAGATACACGCACTCTCAGGAGCGTCCTCTTCGGAAGATTCAAATATGGTGACCCTAGACCAGACCAGAGGTGGGGCCAGTCGCCAGAGCAGACTTGGATGGCAAATGCTGTTTATCTCCATCGTGATTCCCCATCCCCATCTTAATGAAATAACCCCCCCCCTCGACCATCACCAGGTGAGAGGGGCCAGACTCTGCCCTCCCCTCCTTGGGGTACAAACCAGAGCGAGCTCCAGTCAGTCCGTAGAACGACCGATTCACACCGACGCGAGAGCAGAATTTGATCCCAAATGCTACTCACTCGAAATGTAAAGGCCTGAACAGTTCAAGATTCGGGGGGAAAAAGCCCAGAGTGCCCCCCGATAATTCATTCCATATTCCCGGATTGCAAAGGAGGCCCCCAGGACCCAGCCAGCCAGTCAGTCTGTCAGCTTGAGTGTTTACAGAGCTCTAGTCACTAGAGTAGCTGTTAATTATTTTGTAATATTTGTTTTTCAGTGGCACTTCAGAGTGGTCCAGGGCTCCGGCGCTAGGCGCTGTGCAAACACCCAACCAAAGGACAGTTCCTGCCCCAAAGACCTTACAATCGACGGGATTTGTCTGTCTATGACAGTGGTCTCCGAGGTGTGGCCCACAGCCCACTAGTAGCCACGACCATCTTGCAGCTGGGCCCTGGGTTTGGGGCTGGCCACGGCCCCCCCCTTTGCACAGCAGGGAGCCTGCACTGGCGTCCCAGCCTCCCGGCTCCTGTGAGGCTGGGTGCCCACTGTGGCAGGGGAGGAAGGAACCCTGAACCTCGCAGGCCGGATCCAGCTCATGGGGGGAGGAAGCAGCTCCACTGTCTGCTGGCCCCCCACCCCCGAGACTGGGGAAATGGCAGGGCAGGAAACAGCCACAGGGA